AATAAAGTAACTTAATTTCAATATAGAAATTTAATAGGAGTAAAAGAATAAAATGGGATTTTTCCCCTTGAATATATATATTATCTTTCGAAAAGAAATATAGTAATTATTAAATATTTTTTATATTTATTTAAATTTAGACATAATATTGATATAGATATGGAGATTGAAAGAAGAGAAAATAACATCAGTGGCCGAAAATTCCTTATAATATACGAATTTAACCAACTTTTTTTGGATTTGTCAAAATGACCAACAAATTCGCAACGCGAACTCCAATTTCGCAACCCAGTTTCCAATTTCGCAACGCGAATCTGTAAATCGCAACGCGAATTTGTAAATCGCAACACATAAGCCAAATTCACAATGCGATAGTCAAATTCGCAACGCGATAGTCAAATTCGCAACACAAAGTCAAATTCGCAACGCGAAAGTCAAATTCGCAACGCAAAAGTCAAATTCGCAACACGATAGTCAAATTCGCAACGTGATAGTCAAATTCGCAACGCGATAGTCAAATTCGCAACACAAATTCAATTTCGCAACGCAATAGTCAAATTCGCAACGCGATAGTCAAATTCACAACACAAAAGTCAAATTCGCAACACAAAAGTCAAATTCGCAACGTGAATTTGTAAATCGCAACACAGAAGTCAAATTCGCAACGCGATAGTCAAATGTTTTTACACGAAACACAATATTAATAACGCAACACAAATGTAAACAGTATTATCACAAATCATCTCTAACCTAAAACCTTAAATCATAACTCAGTCCCACCTCCATCTCTCACTCTCTATGGTGACATCCGTCCCCATCTCCGACGAAATCCGTCTATCTCCATCTCTTAGAGCAACCCTCACAACCATTCACGGTCAGAAATGAAAAATCAACCACTGAGGGTTAGTTTTTTTAATCTCTTATTTTTATTTTGAAATTTTTGTATTATTATTATATTTTTCTTATATAGATGATAAATTTACTGGTAATTTCAATATATATAGATTAATCATTTCACTGAGATTGCTTAGTAAATTCATTCGGTTGCTGCCAATACTGTTAAACTGTTTAGTCTTTAACCCTGTGAAGTTAGCATTTGTCTTTGTTTTATCTTTTTGTTGAAGAAACCCAAAATCGCAACGCGGAAATGAAAATTGCAACACGATTTTAGTTTCGCGTTGCGATTTTCATTTTCGTGTTGCGATTTTCATTTTCGCATTGCGAATTTAAGTTTCAGAAACTTCTTTTATTCTGCAAATTGAAACTTGAATGAATTGCATTACTTCAACCAAAAAACAAAGACAAATACTAACTTCACAGTGTTGCTAATTTAAGTTTCAAGAATAAACTATTACTCTTTATGTTGTCCTTGAACTTGCACTAAACTTATATGTTGTCCTTTTAAATGTTTATATAAGTGCTTACTTCTGGAATGTTATCTGATGCATTTTGTGAACTATGATGGAATAATGACTTGGGTGAATACGGTGCTAGTTTGAAACATATTTGGCTTTGTTTTCACTGTTTAATATCATGTCTGTTTATAGTGTATAATAAGGAGTTTTTGGTATATCTAACTGTATGTTTATTGTTTTTGTAGAATTTTTTTTCAACTGCATTGACCTTAAGGAATAAATTAAGCCTAGCCACTAAAATTACGTCGACGCTTACACCTCTACAAAGAAAATTGTTTGAGGATATTTGCTTCGGGCCATGGCTGAAAGTGCAACATACGGGTGGAGATGTTATGTTGGCACATTTGTTTCTTTAGACCATTACTAACGATGTACCCAAGGGGATACAACGTGGTGATGAGGAGATATGGTTTCATTTTCCTCAAGCACATACTTGTTTTGGGTGGGAGGAGTTTTGCTTAATCACTGGTATACGCTTCGGACATGATGATGTAGGTCGGTACACTAGTCATATCGCCCGCCCATCATGGTTATCTCGGGTTTTTCCTGAGCTGGCAAAGTCGAAGCCGAGTTTACACGTCGACGACTTGAAGAGATTATTTGATAAATATGGTTTTACTCGGATGGATGACCTTGATGTTGTCCGAGTATACCATTTATTACTTTTGCATGCCGACTTTTTAGGCAAAGAGGGCAGACAACCTATCTCCGAGGACCTAATATTATTGGTAGATGACCTAAATGCATGGAACATGTTTCCGTGGGGTTCATATCAATGGAAAGCTACCTGGAAGAAGTTGTCGTCTGCCTTTGAGGACCGAAAAAGTTTGCGGGGCGATGGTTCTAAATACACTTTGACATGCTTTACTTGGGCCTTTAAGGTAAGAATTTCTATATAATGTTTCCAAAATTATAATTAATTATTTAACAATTACTAATGTTTGTGTATTATATTGTTTGTAGATCAAAGTCCGGGTATTGACCAAGATCAAATTTCGAATACTGACTAGTACTCGCAATTTTTTCTGTTGGCTCATAATCGTCTAACTGGTCAATACGAAAACCAGAATTTGGTGCTGAAAGTTAATTGGGATTTGGATTAGGAAAAGGTTGTGGGTTTTGATATTGTGTTTGGTATTGGAAATGTGGTGAAACAAAATTTGCTTGGTGATGAAATTGTGGTAGAACCATTAAATTTTGGGTTGAAGAACTTAGTTGATTACTACCCGCTACTAACCCATCACTACTTCTAGGTTCAACAACATACAATGTAACATCATCTTCTTGCGAAACACTAATGTAAGCAATGAATCGTTCAACATCTTCATTGTCGGTTAACAAATAAACTTTACTTTTTCTCTGATAAGATAACATAAATCCACTTAGAGACTCTAAATTCAATTTCTTTGCAACACGTAACATTAGAGTTTCATAAGTTAACTTTTTTAATGACAGTTTTAGTTGAAGATTCATGGGTAAAGACACATATTGTAAAACACCATGAACATTCTCCCATGACCCTCCAAAACACAAATCTATCCAAACATGATCAACATTAGATGATTTCATTCTACAAATTGTAAATTAATTTACTAAACAAACGAGTTATAAACTAGATATCATCACTAACTTAGAGAAAAACATACATTTATTAAGTTGATAATTGATAATTTGGGAGAGAAATCATTGAAAAATTATATAGAAATAAAATTATGCAAAAAAAATTAGAGATGGGGAAGGATGTCGTTGGATATAGGAACAGATGTCGTCGGAGAGAGTGATAGATGGAGATGAAATGAGTTGCGATTTAGGGATTTAAGTTATGAGTTGATGCTGCTGCGTTGTTATATACCCAAAACATTTGTTTTGCGAAACTAAAACATGTTACGAAATTAAATTCGCGTTTTGAATTTGAAATTCAGTTGCGAATTTGAAATTCCGCGTTGTGAATTTGACTATCGCATTACGAATTTGACTTCTGTGTTGCGATTTACAGATTCGCGTTGCGAAATTGGAAACTGGTTGCGCAATTGGAGTTCGCCTTGCGCAATTGTTAGTCATTTTGGCAAATCCAAAAAAAATTGGTTAAATTCGTATATTATAAGGTATTTTTGGTCACTGAAGTTATTTTCTCTTGAAAGAATCAATCTATTAAATTGGTCAGTGAACAATTTTATAATTCATTGTTCTTTTAATTTTTTTTATAAACTAAACAGAACAAGCAACATAGTTTAACAATCTGGTTGGTTGGATTTTTCATAATCGGTTCTCCTAAAATCATAAAAACAAAAGAAAGAGTTCATGAAAGTCATGTGTTGTTGGACACGTATTGATTCCAAAACCAACTACGTAAACCATAAGCAGGCATGGCCTAGAAGAGCCTTAAAAGCTTAGCTGCCACGCAAGCAGGAATAAAACAAACCGAATCTGAAACCGGACCCAGAATATTCTAATTAAGTTCCCCTATCCCGAACCCATTAACCCAACCTAAATCAAAATGATTTGAAATCCATTTGATGGTTCGAACTTTTCTATCTCGATCAAATCCAACGGCTGGTATTAGTTATGCTAGACCAAGCACTTTCCTCATATTAGTACTTTAGGTTCTTTTGTCTTGCCTAGTTCCAACTTTACCATAAAAATTAGGGTAAAGAGCAAAAATAGTTTTCGACTATAAAGTATTATTTTATCGAGTTTCTCGATTATTAAAATTTATAAAATTATTTCTAAATTATAGTATAATGCTTTGTTGAGTCTCCCGACTATTAAAAGTTATAAAATGATCACCTGACTATCTATATGTTTCAAACTCGTCATTTTCCTATAAAAGGTTGACGGTCATTTGAGCTGGACATTAACCTATTGGTTGAGATATGATAAAATCATATGTTTTTTTAATGATGTCTACTAGTACAACCGTTGCTTTCAAGCATTGGCCTGACGACATAATATTTCATGTACTAATTCGACAATATAATGTAAATAGACACTTGATCCACAAAATACAACTTAAGCAATTATAAAATCAGAGTTTATCATATCCCAATAAGCAGGTTAACCTTATCTCATGTGACCACCAATTTTTTAATGAAGAATGATACATTTGGAACATATGAATAGTCGGTGACTATTTTATAATTTTTGATAGTCAAGGGACTCAACAAAGGAATACCTTATAATCAGGGAATCATTTTGTAACTTTCAATAGTTGAAACTCACTAAAATAATACCTTATAAATACGATAATTTAAGTACTAAAATTAAACATTTCTATTAGTGTTTGTATTATATGTAATTATAGATTTAATTTATATATTTTAGTTTAATTATTTGTAAAAGAATTAAAAGAATATAGATACTTTTCATTGTTATTTATACCTAGGAATATATATATATATATATATATATATATATATATATATATATATATATATATATAGAATAACACATGTAATTCCAACGTCTAATTGAAAACTCCACCACGTAATATGCCGTTGGCATAAACTAAAATAAAACAAAATCGAACTGTTTATCCATTTATTCTTCACATGCAAATACCCTGTTTTAATTTTCCCTCAATATAAAAACCCCTCCTCTGTTACGTGACTCTGTACCCAGAAAACATTTTGCATACTTCTTGAGCTTTCTTCCATATTTTCCGACCTTTTTTTTTATTCCGACAGAAATGGCCGGGATTGTTGTGATTTTCGATTTCGACAAAACCATCATCGATTGTGACAGTGATAACTGGGTTGTTGATGAGTTAGGTTTCACCGAGTTGTTCAACCAGCTTCTTCCTACCATGCCCTGGAATTTTCTCATGGTAAAACCATGAATAATCATAGTTTCAGACGACAAAGCTTCGATTTTTAGACATGTTCGTGTTTACGTGGTGTAAATTTGCAGGACAAGATGATGAAGGAGATTAATGCACGAGGGACAACCATTGATGACATTGTTGAGGTTCTGAAACGAACACCCATCCATCCCAGGATCGTCCCCGCCATTAAATCAGCTCATGCTTTAGGGTACTTTTTTGTCAACTACAAAACTCTAATTTGTAGATTTATAACAAGTTAGAATGATGAATGATCAAATTGTGATCAAATTCCCAGATGCGAACTCAGGGTTGTTAGTGATGCAAATATGTTCTTCATTGAGAAAATTCTGGAACACCTCGGATTGAGACAATGTTTCTCGGAGATCAACACGAACCCTAGCGTTGTCGATGAAGATGATAAGCTAAGGATCTTTCCTCACCATGATTTCACCAAAAGCTCCCATGGCTGCAGCCTCTGCCCTCCAAACATGTGCAAGGTATCGTATTTAAATGATTTTTTTTATATAGAAAACATAAATAAAACCCATGAATTTGACGTGATTTAATGGTGAAGCAGGGGATGGTGGTGGAGAGGATTCAAGCTTCTTTTGAAGGGAAGAAGAAGAACATTATATACCTTGGAGATGGCAGTGGGGATTACTGTCCTGCCTTAAAGCTTGGAGAGGCGGACTATATGATGCCAAGGAAGAATTTCCCGGTGTGGGATTTGATTTGCAGTAATCCTATGTTGATCAAAGCTGGTATCCATGAATGGAGCGATGGTGAAGAGCTGGAAAAGGTTTTGCTGCAAATAATCAACACGGTTGCTGTCGAAGGAGACGGTGACAAATCTTCGCAATTGATCTCCTCCGTCGATTGCAAGTTGCAGACAATATCAGCATCGACCACCGCCTTGCCGCAGGCCATGCCGGTTCCTCAATAGGGTCATGGTTACAATCATAGATGTTTCGTTTACACTCATGATTGTATCTTTAGTTATTGGACTATCATAAACCAATCGGACTTAGGGGATGTTTGTTTGACTCTTAATGAAACCATTCAACGCTGAATGCCGGTTCAATATTCAGCGCGTTTGTTTCGCACCTCTGAATGATTCAGTAAAACAGTGTTGAATGATTCAACACAGAAGTACATTCTGAATGATTCAGTCATTATCAAATAATGTCACATTCAGAGCTAGTTCATACAGAGACTCTGAATCATTCAGCATTTGAATCATTAGCGCTTAATCATTCTGAAATATACAAACATCCCCTTAATCTAATTGGGTGTGTAACTATCTTTTAAAATATATATGCACACTTCCCCAAGGCCCAAAGCCTCTGGCAGAAACTCTCCCCTGAACGGCAAACCATGGTCTCCTCTGCCATCAGCTTGAATCTTACATGAAAAATAAAACAAATAATACCATAAAGATTAAAAAATATAAAATTTATTTACATGTAAAATCCAAATTATTCATTCGACAAAGCTGGACGCCTAAGTGAGAGCGAAGATAGGAGGTTTGAAGACGCCGAAGATTGGGGTTAGGGTTGTTTGTGAAGGGAGTAAAGTTACTGCTCCCAAGGGGAAGAACTTCGAATGCAAAGTGTAAGGTTGATTTGAGGCTTAAGATCTGGAAATGGACTTTCTGATGACATATATAATGCAGAAGAAGAAGAAGAAGGTTTGATGATTATTTTATTTTATTTTATTTTTTTAATTATGTGCTATTTTTTTTAGGTGAGTACATGTTGTAAATTTGGTGATTGATTCGTAATAATATGATATATATAGAAAATAGTTTTATATATTTATATACTTTTTTATTTTGTTTTTAGTCCTTCATTGGGTTATTTGTATAGTTTTTTCCCTTAATTTAAAATTTTTTGATTTCATAAAATTATATATGTATATATATTTAATCAATTTAAGGTAAATATAAATTAATATCTATTTAAATATAATTGTAAATCACCATGTTCTAACATATTGAAGTATGGTGATTTTATTTAATGAAGTCGACATCACAATATTTATATGTTTTTATAAGAAAGTAAATGTAGGTTATAATTGAGGGTAAATTTATAAAATTGAAAAAATAATTATTAACAAAATATAAAATGTATTTAAATTTTATGAGAATTAAAAAATTTTAAGGACATATTGTCTCCGCTATCCCTTCCATCGTAGTATTTATTTAAAGATGATTCTCGATTATTTGACACTAAACACATATACTCTTAATACTCATAATATTTGAATTTAGGATATTAAATAATAATAACTATTTTACTATCAATATCGTTTGATTTGTACATAATTATAAATAATGTTCGAGCCTATTTGAAATTACTAATTCATAAATATTATAATAATAACGGCGATAACCAACACTTAACCTATCAAATAATAAATATTAATTTGTATAAAGTTTACTAATTTTTCACCATAAGAATATTTTTATTATGCTGATAAACTTCTTCATAATATTTTTTTTCTTCAAAACTAATACAAAATCGTAATATGTATTGAAATACTTTATCTCCAATGTTTTAATGGTGGTTATCATGTCATTATATGAAAACAAGTCCTCTAAATGTTTTTCTCCTCTTAATTAATCAATTGAAGATTAAGAAAAGGTATAGTTGGCATACTTTATAATTTTAAATGTATTAACGTGGTAAATATAATATAAAATTTGATAAAACGTAATAAATTTTATATAGATATAAATTATGAAAATAATTTTAGAATGTAAGTGTCGGTAGAGGAGTCTCAGCATGCTCACTTATCTGGTATTTTTCCTGTGCTTGATTCTATTGTCATGTATTCTAATTCCTCTCTTCCTCTTCTCGTCGAAGGCTTTCTGAGACTTACGATCATTGCAGAGTCAGGGGTCACAAGAAGGAGAATTGTTATCGCTTGATTGATTTCCCCCGGAATTTTAAGTTTAACCAGAAGCGTAAAGGTTCAATTGCTATGGTCACGCAATCCGATACGCCCTTAGCTTCGATCATTAATTCTGATTCAGTGGTTACACCTTCTGCTCCCATGGCTCCTTCACTCACAGGTGCAATATCAGCAAATTATTGATCTCTTGCATAAACAACCTCAATATTCGGTGGTTAATCTTGCAGGTATTATTTCTTCTTCTTGGATTCTGGATTCTGGGGCTACGGATCACATAACATCTTATTTCCAAGGCATGGTAAATCCTATTTCATGTCTTTTGACTCCAAGTTTTGTACGCCTACCAAATGGTTTCACAGTTCAAGTTACTTATGTTGGTTCTTACGCTCTTACACCTACTTGTTTGATTAAAAATGTACTATTTATACCTAATTTTCTCCATAACCTTCTCTCCATTTCCAAGCTTCTAAGTTTTGTTTGTTACAGGACCCCTTAAGTGGAATGATGAAGGGGACTGGTAGGGAGTGTGGAGGCTTATACTTGTTTCAGTCTGCTAAAAGTGTTTCTGGTACTCCTTCAGCTTCAACTTTCACTACTGTTATGTTAGATGACTTTGTTTGTCCTTTGAATTCTGATGTAGTTTCGTGTCATTCTTTTATGATTGATAGTAAATTTCGGCATGCTTGTTGGGGCATGCTACTATTAATAAATTGCACAAGTTGCCTTAATTTCTTGATGTTAAAATTCTTGCTGGTTGCTTTGATGATTGTTCGATTATTCCCTTGGCCAAACAGTCATGTATCCCTTTCCCTATTAGTGTTTCTAGTTCTGATAGGCATTTCCAATTAATTCATATTGACCTTTGGGGGCCGTATAAAATATCTACATATTCGGGTCAACTTTTTTCTTACTATAGTTGACGATTTTATAAGAATGGCCTGGGTTTATCTATTGAAATTAAAGTCCGACTCTATTGTGTCCCTTAAAACTTTTTTTGCTTTAGTCCATGATCAGTTTTCTGCCTCTGTTTCCATTATTTGTAGTGATAATGGCTCAGAAATTTTCAGTTCTTATTGGTCTAGTTTTTTTTTTTTTTTATACTCTTGGTATTGTTCATCAGAGTAATTGTGTTAATACCCGCAGCAAAACGGGGTGACTGAACGGAAACACCGCATCTTGCTTGAGGTAGCTCAGGCATTTCGTTTTCAATTAAATTTCTCTCTTAAAATTTTGGGTGATTGTGTTCTCACAACATGCTATATCATCAATAGGTTATCTTCATCTGTTCTGAATTGGAAAGCCCCTTTCGAACTCTTGTATATAAAAAAAAACTAATCTTTCTCATCTTTGCATCTTTGGATGCTTGTGTTATGCTTACACAAACCTCTTGTCGAGATAAATTTACCTCAAGGGCTGTACCATCTGTGTTTGTAGGGTATTCCTCCACTCAAAAGGGATATAAGTTATTCAATCTTACTACTCCTCGATTTTTTATCAGTCCGGATATTCGTTTTCATGAACATGAAGGAATTAAGCGTTATAAAGATCGCCTTGTGGTAAAGAGGTTCAGTCAACATGAAGGAATTGACTATACTGACACGTTTTCCCTGGTGGCCAAGCTTGTTACAGTCCGAACCATTTTGGCACTTGCGGCAAAGTTTGATTGGCCCCTTCATCAGCTGGATGTTCACAATGCATTCTTGCAAGGTGATTTGGATGAATATATATATATGGTGCTGCCTGAGGGGTTTTGCAGCCAGGGGAGGGTTTGGTATGTAGGCTGCATAAGCCTCTTTATGGCCTAAAATAGGCTTCAAGATAGTGGAACAAGAAGCCGACAGAGGCCTTTGTTGCTACTGGTTACAAACAAAGCAATTATGATCATTCTTTGTTTACCAAGAGGCAAGGGAGTAAGATGGTTGTAATGCTTGTTTATGTGGACGATCTATTAGTTACTGAGAATGATGCTGAGTCAATTTCTAATTTGAAGAAGATCTTGCATTAGAATTATCGGATGAAGGATTTAGGGGAATTAAAATACTTCCTTGGTTTGGATCTTTTGAGGTCTAAAGAAGGTATAGTACTCAATCAAGGAAAATATGCTCTAGAATTGATTGAGAAAACTGGTTTATGGGGAGCTAAGCCTGCTTTGACACCCTTAGAGCAAAATCTAAAGTTAACTGCTACTGAATTTGATAAATATGTACATCAACAGTTTGAGGATGAAGAAATGGAAGATAGAACTTACCGATGTTGATAGGTCGATTGATTTATTTGATACACACAAGGTCGGACATCATGTACTTAAAGCTTGATCCAGGACAAGGTATATTGATGAAAGCTTCAGGTGATTGACAACTGGAAGCATTCTGTGATTCAGATTGGGCAGCGTTCCTATGTCGAGGAGGTGTGTCACAGGTTTCTTTGTTTTGCTTGGAGGTTCATTGGTGTCATGGAAATTGAAAAAAAGAAAAAAGAAAAAAAAGCACTATAGCACGATCATCAGCAGAGGCTGAATACCGTAGTATAGCAATAGCCACTGCTGAATTAACTTGGTTAGATGGGCTGTTGACAGAACTTGAAGTTTTGAAAAGGGAGCCAAATCAAGATTTATTACGACAGTAGAGCTGCGTTGCAAATTGCAGCTAATCCAGTCTTCCATGAAAGAACTAAGCATATTGAGGTGGACCGTCACTTTATAAGGGAGAAGATTCAAAAAGGGTTGATTCAAACAAATCGTATCTCAACTTTAGAACCAGCAAACATTCTAACCGAAGCTCTTGGAGTTCAACAGCACAATTATTTGTTGTCCAAGTTGGGGATTAAAACTGTTTTTAAACCTCCAACTTGATGGGGAGTGTAGAAGTTAATTGAATTTGTTGATTGACAGGGATTGTTAGTTAGTTAGTTGAGTTGTGATTCGGTTACTAGTGTATTTTTTTACTACATTTATGTATAAATTAAACTTTAAGCCGTGAAATGATATACGATAGGCATTATTCCATTTGTTGTGCAAACTCCGTGTTGATCAAAACCCAAGTGATCGTGTTCCTCGCTGTTGCTCTATTGTTTGTCCTTCGTCGTTCCATCGTGGGATTAGGATTTTAAAAGATTAGGGATTTTAGTATTTTTTTTATAAAAATAATATTTTTATTATTAAAAATTGAAAAATATAACGGCATGAACCTAAAAGTGTAACGGAAAAAACGTAAGACACATATTTTTAGCGAAAATTATTTGGACACAAACGTGTATTTCGAGGCATAGTTTAGACATTTATTTTTGTATTATGCCTAATTACAACTTAACTTATTTTCTATATTAGTATATTAATTGTGATGTTAGAATCCATGTGTTTTTTCTCTTTATTATTAACTTTGTTTTCATTTGTTGTGCTGAATTTTTGGTACGCTAATTTGGTCGTTCCGATACGCGTTCCATATCGAACTGAAACGCGGACGAATCTTGAATTAGAACGAATGAATTCAAACGAGATCCGCAGGGGTGCGGACGAATTGGGTAACACTGTGTTGGATCTCTATAATTGCTTAAAAAATTGATTTTTTGGCCTTTTGCAAGTTATGAAAGCAGTATGCTTCTTGAAAACAGTAGTAAAATATTAATATTACAGTTAATGCCAGGCTATGTAGTCCTTTATCATGTAATGAAAAAAATTAAAATAATCTAGATAGAAAATTAATTTCGTTATTGTTTGTACATATATAGCTTCAATCAATCACGAAAAGATTCCCAAGAGATTGCTTATTTAACGATTTGATCTTTAGTTCTATTGAAATAAAAATGTTGATTTCTTGGCCTGCTTCTTGTCAGATAGTTGAAACCTTGTTTGTCTATATCCTTGTAAACATCTGGCAGCAATTTGGCTACTCTTTGACGCAGGCAGTTTGGACAAACTCAAAACACTACAAGTGACAACATATTTGATAGTTTTTCGCCATCAGGTTTGAGGGCTCATCATATTCCAGCAATTCACCTGCAGATATAATAATAATCAATCAATATTTGAATTTTCTGATTGGTTGCAATGTAAGAATACCGAAACGCTTGCAGACGTCAGGATTCGAATTGAAAGGATCATTTGATTGACATTAGAAGTAGGAAGCAATTCTCACCTTCATAACCTCGCTACTTACCCGTACGTTGGAGCCGCGTAGAAAATGTTATAGCGTATACAAAGATTCCATAATACGCAATCTCCTCACCATTATTATAGTGTATACAAAGATTTTATGAGATCCCAAAGTCTGGTAGAGATTATATAATAATGACGAAGGAATCGTATATCATGAACGAGGCAATTTTTAGAGGAAAAAAATTATGCTAATCATCCTGTTGTGAAATTCGGGTTAATTTCCACCAATAACAGATTCACCTTGAAAACTATTATCTAGGTGACTAGTGTAAAAACGATTGTACTAAAAATCACCCCAAGGTAGATTCCCAGGAAAGAGGAAGGGTCACAATGGTCCCTCTTAAAACCCACTTTCCTTAGACAGAACTACCAAGACAAGTAATTTTAATAGATCAATAATTGACAACAACTATACCCGACAATAGCTATTAAATAGACATAAAAGACAACACCAAAATATTTCACTAATAGAGGAAATATTACAAAGAGAGAAAGAATACAAATAGCCTTTAAAATAGAAGAAGGCTTATATTTGTGGGATAATTAACTAAGGAGGAGGAGGGCTTTATTTATAACAAAAGAATTTCCCCTCCTCCTTATACACAACCAATGTGGGACTTTTGCCAAAAACAACAAATCTCCACCTTGGCAAATTCCACACACATCTCTAAAAAAACAATCTTTTAATTTGTAACAATATTGACCAAATCTAAACAATGTTTAAACTTGACCGCAGTTACCACTTTTGTCAACATATCAGCAGGATTCTCAGTGGTCCGAATCTTCTGGATTATGACTCCACATTCTTCTAGAATCTCTCGTACAAAGTGATATCGAACATCGATGTGCTTCGTCCTTGCATGGTAAACCTGGTTCTTTGCTAAATGAATAGCACTCTGACTGTCACAGTGCACTTTGATGTGCTTTTGTTCCATTTCCAATTCACCAAGCAACCCTTGAAGCCAAATTGCCTCCTTCACAGCCTCTGTAACTGCCATATACTCTGCCTCTGTAGTAGACAAAGCCACTGTTGACTGTAAGGTGGACTTCCAACTGACTGGTGCCTTTGCAAATGTAAACACATAACCAGTAGTTGATCGACGCTTGTCCAAATCACCTGCATAATCTGAATCACAATACCCAACTACACACTGACCATCTTGTTTGTCCTGCTGAAAGACCAAACCAACATCTACGGTGTTCAGAATATACCGCAGAATCCATTTCACAGCTTGCCAATGCTCCTTTCCAGGATCATGCATATACCTGCTCACAACCCTAATTGCCTGTGAAATATCGGGTCTCGTACACACCATTGCATACATCAAGCTACCAACAACACTTGCATACGGAACCTTTGACATGTATTCCCGTTCTGCATCATCCTTAGGTGACATGGATGCACCGAGCTTGAAATGAGGAGCAAGAGGTGTACTAACTGGTTTTGACATCTCATTTATGCCAAAACGTTTTAGTACCTTCCTCAGATATTCTTTCTGAGACAAACAAAACCTCCCCAATTTCTTATCCCTTGATATCTCCATGCCTAGAATCTTCTTCGCTTCACCAAGATCCTTCATCTCAAACTCCCTGTTCAATTGAGTCTTTAGTTTCGCAATTTCTGTCTGACTCCTAGAAGCTATCAGCATATCATCAACATAAAGAAGAAGATATATATAGGATCCGTCTTCTAGCTCGCGTAAATACACACAATGATCATATTTGCTTCTTGTGTACTTCTGCCCTATCATAAACTTGTCAAATCGCTTGTACCACTGCCTTGGAGATTG